CTTCTTAGAGTAACAGTGATAAGCTTAGGAGATCCAGCACCACCACTTTCTGCAGCACTAAGTAATGCTTTGGCAGCCATTCCAGGCACACGTTCAGGAAAGGTCACCAGCTGCATGGAGCAATCACAGCATTCCATACTTACACCGTGGGACTCAGACTACACCTCAGCACTCTGCAGCAAGCAGGAAAAGCTGGCAGGAAAGGGAGAAGCCAGGGCTGCTAAAGCTGTATAAAACTAATTTTTCCTTCATGCTTTCTATCATGTTTCTTGAGGGGACTCTGTGGGTTCACTCCTGAGCTCACACTCAGTGCAGGTTCCTCAGGCCTTGTCAAATTATGCTCATCTCTAAACAGAGAACCTTTTTTGCAAAGCTGAAGGCTCTGTCCTTGCAAAATACCCTTGGTACTTGCTTTCCTCTAAATGATTACTCCTCCTGATTCCTCCATCGCTGTTCAACTCCTGAAAGGGCTTCACAGTGATACTGAAATGTGTTAATCTGATAGCTAAACCAATACTTTTTCAATTACAGATTTAGTTGACCTTGTTTTGTTTTTAGCAAAAATTGGCCTCTTAGCTGCCTGACAAAGCTTGCTGGATGCACAGACAATCCCCACCCCACACACAGCACTGGCCTCTTCTTGGCATTCCTTTTGCTTATGTGAGCAACTTTATTTGTCCCAAAATTTGTCATCCAATAATTACCATACAATCTTTTAACAACAAGAACTGACAATTTTTAGGAGTTTTATTCCCTTTTTTAATTGATTACTTCCCTTAAAAGGTGACTGACTCTGATGTCCCAACAATAGCAGTCAGGATCTTATTTTTTTGAAATACTGATTAATCAATTTGTTAGATCAGCAGGAGACATACTTTAAAGACAAACATACACAATCATTTCAATAATCCCCAATTCAAACTGTTACTGAATTTTAATATTGTAACTACTCAGTTTAAAGTTTGTAACTGTTATGTATTAATAAATTCAATAGGGATAACTTACCTAAAATCTACACATTACAGTTAAGAGATTTGTTATGAGAAACAGTGATTTAAGTGATTTGCAGTATTTGTCAGCCTCAGGACATTTTTAATACTTCATAATGTTTATTAAGGATATACTTCCCCACAGGAATCTACTTACCTCTCTCAGATTTTACAGAACAGTCTGGGTTTATTCCAGTACTGGCACTTCAACTCCTATGAATATTCTTTTAAATACATTGATTAATGTGGTCTTTTTCAATTATCTTGCAAAATAGCCACAGTGACATCTGATCTGCCTTGTGCATAGTATCTCACTTTTAAAAAAATTATTTTCCCATGCTGCTCAATGGGAAGATGCTCATTTTCCTTGCAGGAGCAGCCAGCTCAATGTGAGAGTAAGACACACACAGTGTGTGTCTGCCTTGGAAAAAAAATACACTTTCATCTTCTTTTTAAACGAAGGGTTTGAATATTTTTTTCCTGGATTCAATGTTCTCTTAAACCAGTAACTTTCTTGGCCTCTGATGGCTATTTGTAGTGTTCTATTGAAGGCTCTACCTGCAAACAGTTCCTATATATCATTCTTTCAATTGCCCTCTTTGAATTTCACTTTCACATCAGATTTCATAGGTGATTTACTTTCTCTTTGACTAATACCTCCTGAGAAATAAATCCATGAATGAAAATAAGGGGTAGATATCAGTCCTAGGTGAGGATCCAATGGGAAACCACATGAAATGCTGTAGAAGTCCACAACATGTGATGCTCACAACAATATTAGAAAACACTTTCATTAATGACCTACAAGAGGGAGAGAACATTGCTGAAAGCTGAGAGGAGCTGCAAGCTACAGTGAAAATGCAAAACTGTAGAGCTCCCTCACGCAGCTGGAAACTCATGCAAGGGAAAAAAATGCAACAATGTGAAATTATAAATATTATGAAGATGGGAGTAAAGATTCATTGTAAGCTGTCTCTTCCAAGGGGCATTAAATGATGCTAAGAGATTCAAAGCAAGATTTACTGCACTCAGGCCATTCTGATGCAGAAGGTCTTGCCACGGGATATTAAGATATTTATATGTATTCAAAATCCCAGGAGACTGACAAAGTACTCAGTGTCCCTAGATTGCTGCCCTGTGCAGCATCCACCTCCTGCCACTGTCAGAGCTGGTAGGGCTGTAATTATGCTTGCTAGGCAAAGTTAACAAAATTCCATATGAAACCCAGAATGCTGAAGGGAAAAAAACCTGAGCATAAAATAAAATCTGGCTAAAAGAAGTTTGGAGTGACCAAATTAGATAGATATAAATAAATAAGGAAGCAAGCAGAGCAGTGCTAATCCAAGGCTGTTTCTGCAAGGGACCACAAGTCCAGTTGAACTGGTGTGAGCACACCCAGCATGCAGCTGTAGGCATGTGGTCCCTTATCTCCAGGAAGGCTGACAGACAGGATGGGTTTTGTGTAAGAAAAACCACATGATTAAGAGATGAGCATGTGATTTTTGAAGGATGATTTAAGGAAAGATCTTTGCAACTTGCTTAAGCAATGATGAAAACCGAAAGTGACAGCCAGGAGAAGAAATATCTTAGATTTATTTAAAGAGTGTGAACTTTATAACCAGGGGGAAAGAATTAGGCTCATAACAAACAGGTCCAAAGTTGAAGAAGGAATATGAGGTAAAATATCAAGAAATATGATCAAATATTGATTACCAAATCAAAAGTTGGTAATCACTTTGCCATGGCTTGTCACACACAAAAAATAGGGACAGGGAAATTTCATAGAATGTGTGGTAAGGGACAATCAGTTGCTGACCTGTTGGAAAGAACAGTGGTGCTCAGGACTCCTATGTGAGCCTGATGCTCACCCTGGTGAGGTGCTCAACAGATGCTACAGAAATTCTGACATGCCATTATAATTACACCTGATGCTCAGAACAGCCATACATTGGGGTGCTTCTGCTGTCCAAGTCTAATCTGCTCTCAAGAACAGAGGGGTCACAGTAAGGAGCCCTCCTAGGTTTAAAAGCTGAAATACAGGAAAAGTGGGCAGCTGTTCATGAGCCAGCTGCAGAATGACAGAGCAGACAAGCCAGTGACAGCTAAGATACTTTACCTGCTATTTCATTTCCAAATCAGCTAAAACATTCAGCACTAAAAGGGTGCTTCAGGTGCTGAAGCCATACAAACTGTGTCAGCTCTCCACCTCACACAAAGAGAATGCTTTCAGCTCTGGCCAGAGAAATGAGAATTCAGAGAATTCAACATACACTGTGCCACTAGATGAACCTCTTCCTTGAAAAGGTCCTTTATGGGAAATCAAAGGATCTTCTTTCCAGCCCAGCACCAAATGGTGACTGTAGGCAACAATAAACCCCCAGCAGTCTCTCCTCTCTTGACCTGATGTCCTACAGGATCACAAGTGGAGAAGTGACCATCCATCCATTTCACTCTCTCTAAAGGCAAAGCATCAGGGCTTGTTTCTCAGGGCAAAATCCTAATGCATCATATATGATTTCAGATGATGGGCCATTATTTCTGAAGACTGGTGGAAATCCTGTTAGCACACAGGTTACCTACAAGCTGTTAGATCAGCAGGAGTCCTGCCAGGTCAATGGGATAAGAAGCATGAGTTGCTTTTATAAAAATGTCACTTTTGATTGAGCACAAGAATAATGGTGATGAGAAGGGCTCAGGACAGATGAAAAAAAGGCTACACTTTTGTTTTGGAGGATCTTCCTGTCCCTGCACGGGGTCATACCTCAGCAGCTTCCAGCATCAGTGTTATCCTGATAAGTGCCCTCTGAGCTACTTTCCAAACCCACAAGGGAGCAGCCTCCTGGGCTATCTCTTCAGCAAAGAAAGAGCAGAAGCTCAAGATGCAGCTTGGTGGGTGCTGGATTAGGGATGATCAGGAGAAGGAACCAGGGAAACCCTCCCAACACTGCCTGGCACACAGGACATCAGCTCTCGTGGAAACTGCTATGCACCACTCACAGAGGCCAGCCACGGACACTATGTGGAGAACCTGGACAGGTTAACTTCCAGCCAGACCAGAACTCCACCTGCTCAGGGCTTGGCCATTATAATCCTGGGCCTTGTGTAGAAACCTGGTGGGAGCAAGCCATGGGGTAAAGTGAGGCAACAGAATCTGCTGGAGCCCACCCTTGTGAACATCATGTTAACTCTGTCCAGTGTGCTTCCCACACTGTAAACAGCAGCTGTTAAGTCTTCTCCAGCTTTCTGGCTGAAATGCATGCCAAAGGCTGGTCCTGGCCCAGCCCTGCAGCTCAAGCTGCTCCTTCCTGCTGGAGGATTCATCACACAGCAGAGATATCCACACCACCTTGTTCTACCGCACCACAGTAGAACAAGATTGACATGCAGTTAAAACCTTAATGTTAAAAGCTGATAACTTAAAAACATTTAACAGGTTAACAAAAAAAAAATATTGTCCCCAGAAACTTTCAGGGAAACGTCGCTTGAGGAGGCAAATGCAGTCAAAATGCAGACGTGGTGCAAACATCTGACTGGGACTCACCCATCATTCCCACACTGCATCCTACCCACAGCTGTACTAGCTGCCCACGCCATCCCTGCGCATCCTTCTGTGGCCAAAGGACCAGAGATGAGCTCTTTCCCTTCAGTAATGCCCACCCAGACATGGTCTCTGGGAGCCTCTCTTCTTGCTTTTACCAAAACCTTGAAATGCTGTCATTGTTTTTTTGCACACCTGTTGTCCTTCTCTGATTTAGGATTCCCTCTGCTGCACACCCCCCAAATCACCGGTACAACACACCACACATAGCACATGTCGACATACAACACACCAAATACAAATCTGCCAAGAATATCTGATCTGTCTGCCTACCCATCAAAAACAGGAGAGTGGAAAGCCTGGGGAAGTTTATTCAGAAAAATGTCAGCCTTCCCATGCCACTACTTTTTCTTCACAGAGGGATGAACATGGCTGAGAGCAGCACAATAAGGGGGTCCAAGAGATATGATTACCTGTATCCTGTCTTCTGGCAATTCTGTTTTCATGGCCAACATCTCTCTAGCATATACGTCAGGATAGTGGGCCTCATTGAAGGCCTTTTCCAGCTCCTCCAGTTGATAGGATGTGAAGATTGTCCTGAGGGGAGTAAAACTCTTTGATCAAAACACAAGAAGCAGCAAAGATGATGAAGAGTCAGAGAAATGGACACTGAAAACAGTGAAACCTGGATAACCAGCTAATACATAGCTTTTCCCCACCTCCTGTGTTTCTGTGCATAAAAGGTCAAGTGCCAGGGTGAAAGGAGAACCAGAAAATGCCAGAAGACAGCATTTTTAACAGTTACAAATCACCTTCCCTTTCAGGGACTTGCCTCTGGAGACAGTGCCTCCCCAGCAGCATGCACCCGCAGTGATGGCAGCTGATCTTGGACTCTGCTGCCTCTTGTGAGGATCATCACACTCAGACGAAGCAGATTCTCCTCAGCACCCCATCTGGAGAGGTGCTGAGCCCCTTCCCAGTTGCTAGTCCTTAGCCTTTTCAATCTCCATCAAATAATCCTTCACCTTGAGTCTCAGTCTTTGGATGAACTCTCCAAATGTTTTCTCCACCCTAACCCACCACTTATCACCAGTTTTCATCTTCCCCATGAGAGTCAGGACCCACTCCCTTCGTCTGCCTTTGCCCTGCCTGCTTCCACTCCAATATCCCACTAGCTGCTCCCTGCCAGTCTGCATTACCCCATTATCCTTTAGAAATCCTCCTGGACCACCCTGGGCAGGCAGCAGCCCAACCCACCTCCACACAGGCAGTTCTCAGTCTGGGACAACCAAATTGAAAAATCAGCAGCTGGAAAGCCGAGACAGATGAAAACCCTTCTCTAGCAGATGGATGAGAAGCCCCAGACCACTTCCACTCCCTGAGGGTTAAAACTCCCACCCTTCAACTCCTCCAGTACAGAAAGCACAATTTTTGATAAAAGCTAACAATACTGCAGTGGCAAAAAAAAAAAAGAAATCCCAACCAACAAACAAACAAAATACCCCAAACAAAAACCAAAACAAAAAAGCAAAAGCAAACAAAAAACCTCAACCAAAATAAATGAATCAAAATAAAACAACCCTCAACCCAACAACAAATTTCAGCCCTTGTGCAAAGTAAATGTATAAATTTACCATCAATCTAAGAAACACTTATCTCCCAGAGGGAAAGAGGAAATAGAGTCTTTTTCTAAAATACATCCAGCCCTTCCGTTCCAGAGAGCACAAACGGAAAATATCAGAAATATCCTCTGGTATACAGAATGAAAAGGATTCCATCAGATCAATAATATTACTAACAAAAGCTGCATGCAAATGCAAGGGACCTGCCTGCAATCAGACCCTTCTTTAAATTCACTCTTAAATCCATTCTCTTTTCAAACAGTTTTTCTTCAACTCTGACAAATCTGTGAACTCCAGGGACAGCAGAGACACACTGAATCACATATTTTCTCTCTCTGGAACCACAGGAAAAATTATTCCAATTTTGATCCAGTTTAGATTTCAAGCATTCCCCTCCATCTTCCTCCGACAGGAGCGCCGAAGCCTGTCCAGGCTCACCAGCGGGAGGGTTCTGCTGACATTCAGCTGAAGTTTTCCCTTTTTAGCTCATGCACGGGTAGTCCCTTTTGCAATTCACAATCCACTGCCCCTTTTGGTGCTTCTATCCTTCAGCTATTTGCAGGCTATTGGCCAGTCATCTTCCAGCCTTTCCTTGGTACAATTAGAGGTCTTAACTGTTTAGTACAGAATATACAACTACAGCCAAATGCTGCAGGTCTGTTTCTGTCTAGAACTGGAAACAAAACAAATCTGAATTTCATTTCCTATCTCTCATCCAGATCAGGAGCTGTACACCAGTCCCAGTTGTATTATCATCCAGCCCTGCCTGGGATGTAAAGAAAATTAGCTCGTACTTACTCCAGAGCACCCAAACTGGGAACATTTGCCTGGGAGGGGGCCAGGGTTTGAAAACGAGCTCTTCTCACCGACCCTCCTGTTGCACACATAGCAGGATGTCTCCTGAGATAGTCGGTCTCCTTCCACCCGGCATCCTGCTAAGCTTTCACTGGAGCGAATTTTAATCCACCTTTCCTGCGTCGTGGCAGGATTGATTTAATTATTCCTAAATCACCCTCAGTGGATGGTGTTCGGCCTCCCTTTGTCCTGGCGCTCTGGACACAGCAATGCCAGAGCCCAGAACGGGATTTTTCGTTTCTGTTTTTAAAGCACAAACAAACCAACTCAATTTTAACTGTGGGAGAAGTCAGGTAAAGTCTATTATCCTGACCGTGCCTGTAGGAAACCAAATCCCAAAGTGGATCTTCCTTTCCTTAAACAGTTTCCCAGCCTTCTTCAGCTTCTTTGCAGTCTGTCTCTGATTCCCAACTATTTAATCTATTGGCAAAATATTTATTTTTTGTAACAAAATATTTAAATTATTTATAGGAATTTTGTCTTGCCGACAGCAAGTATTAAGATTGCTGTACGTGGAGCTGGAAACGGCTTTTATTATTTCTGACAATTGATAATTTTCCCTTCCAAACACCGATCCGCATTCCACCGCAGCTCATGGGCTGCTCAGGATTGCGAATCGGGATACCTAGATCCGCAGCCAGAAAAAATTAAATAAAATTACATCAGTGATAGAATTCCCCACTCCCTATAGGTACGTCCCCATATCCGATTTATTTTGGCCGAGGAGAAAGAATAAAGGGAAGGACCCATTGGAGAAGTCGCACGGGCGCCGGGGCGCTCCGGAGACCGGTGCCGGGAAGAATATTTTGCTCCAGGCCGGAGCGGGTCGTCCCCGCCGGGGCTCGCCGGTGGCCGGTTCCCTGGGGACTGGGGCGAAGAGGCCGGGGTGGCCGCCGCAGTCTTACCTGTGCCGCCTCTTCTTTCGTTTCTTGCTCTGATTTAGGGAGGATTTGGACATTTTTCGGTCGCTGGAGGAGACATCCTCGGAATCTGCGGAAAGACAGGCAGCGGCTGTGGGCCGGGGCTCGCTCCCCGCCAGAGTCCTCCCGGGTAGGGCCCGAGCCGCCGGCTCCGCTCCCTCCGCAGCCTCCGGCCGAAGATTTCGTTGCGATCGCGCCGCGGACGGGGCCCGACGCCGGGCGCTCCCTCCAGCGCGGCCCCAGCGCCGCTCCCGATCCGCTGCGGGCAGCTCGGGGCGATACGCCCCAGCCAAGGAAGGCTCCGGGCCGGGACCGGGCTCGAGCTCTCGCCTCTCTCCACCGGAGTCGTTTGCTGAGGCTGTT